AAAACATGCCTGCACTGTAACCCAAGATGCTTTGAACAATACCTCACTCAGAGCTGAAACAATTTATCAATTAATTTGACATAGCAGTTGAGTATTTTTTGTAAACCATTTGCAGGATGTGTTTTATATCATTGTAAATTCAATATATTTGGTTTTTGGACTGTTTTTTGGATAAAACAAGCAATTTGAATACGTCCCATTGACCTCTGGGAAATGATGACAGGCACTTTACATAAACAAGTCGTATAATATGATCAGTGATGCACAGCAGTGTGTGTAAAGCAACGTGTTATGCACCTTCATTTGAATTTGAAGTAGCAATCTGTGAGTTGTTGCTGCTTCGTAGCCATCCATATAGCAGTGAAGATGTGAGGGGGGTTAATGAGCTGCAGCAGTGCAGTGAGACTGGCTGCTGTGACAGGATGATAATTGTAATGAGACACAGTTGTGGACCCTTGTCATATTATGCAGGTCTTTAAAAGGAATTATTTACCCTTCATTTATTGAGGGAGGGCTGCCTCTTTGCCAGATCTTCCCGCAGTTACACAGAACTTTGTGTTCTTAGACCTTGTATACATCAGACAGGATCCTGAGAGTAATAGTTAAATCTGCATTGAACACTGCTTTTGTATCCAACCAGGAAATGAAGTTGATCGTGGTGTGTAACTCTGCAGAGCATTTTAAAACAACTATGCCAGCATAAGCCTGAGAGGGTCTGATCCATCTTGTTGAGCTGAGAGGGGGTGATGTATGCCCTATGCAGTATTTTTCAATTGTATTTCCCCAAATCTAACACATTTGGACAGTGATACTGAGTGCCTCTGAAGTCTGGGGTGACTGCGATGCTTCCATATTTTCTGTGTCTGAATATTGCTATTGGGGGAGGAAGGTTTATATCTACCTGAAACCATTCCTCTCTCAATTGCAAGCTTTTTTAAGGCTGGTATCCAGATGTTCACAGGACCCTATATAGGTTGCCTGTATAGGTAAGATTATTTTTGGGTCTTTTTACATTAAAGAGGCTTGCAGTTCACATAGAGTTTAGGCACAGCAGCCCCCTCAGTTTCATTGGACGGCATGTATACGAATATGTCGGGAGCCAATCTGCTACTTGGCATTGTTAATGGCTATATTCTTCTTTTCTGCTAGTTCACTAGCGACTTCATGGATATGTGTCGGATAGCAGTTGTCCTATGGGTTGATTAGGGGGTTCTGTTATTTCATAGGCAGTAAAGTCAAGGTCTGACATGTAAGGGAATATAAACATAAGAAAAGGTAAGGTGAAGGGATCTTTAACACCTGCATCTGTTACTGTTTCCTGATACCTTTTTGTAAATGATCTTTATTGGACCACAGTATATTTGCTATCATTCATTGTCAACAGACCTCTGAGCCTTAAACTCCTTTTGTAATAGTTGCATAAAGTGACTGTAATCTAGGAACTCTGCTACTGTTTTAATCTTATTTTGGATAAGACGTACGCATTAAATCTGAAAATATCTGCATGTAAGCTTTTTTGGTGGCTGGGTGAAGAGTATTTTCCATCCACCTAAAGGCTGATTTGAAATATTTAATTGTTGTTGTGTGGTTTTCTCTTTCCTATCATGCAGCACTTTTCCTGTAATGAGGCCTGCTGATGGTTGTTGTGTGTGCCAACCCCTTTATCTCTCAGCCTAAACCACATGTCAGTATTTTGCTGTGTTCACCTAGTGTAATGGTGTCACTGTGTATGTACATATGGATATGGTGTGTTTCTTGAATATACACTGTGTGCATGTGTGCGTACTTGGTCCAGCCTGCCTGTCTGCTGGTTCAAATGCTAATACATTCATGCCTCAGCACTTCTCTTGTTTACTTCTTTACTTACACTTGAAACTATACACCGTCATCAGCATAAAAACTTTCCCTGCTGCATGCCATTAGCCCATATACCAACTTTTAAAAGGAGAACCACACAATAATAGACTATTAGCCTTCCCTTGAATCCATACCTCCCTCCAGCACTCCCCCCTTTACTTAGCATCAAAGTCTACTTGAACTTTTCGAAGCCCGCCCTGCTTGTGTTCTGCCATCATCTTTAAAAGGGCCTCTGCATTAACAAAGGCACACAGAGGAGAAACTCGTAATAGAATAATATCAGTGGATGCTTGTTTGGATGGCGTATGGTCTACTGATGATTAGATCAGACAACCATGACCACTGCTTCCACTACAGTGATGCACAGGCTTGGCTGTGATCAGCTGTGGATTTTAATGGAGGCCCTGACATGATGGTACCAAGTCCCGCACAGTGAGTGTGTTTACAGCCACACTAAAATCCTGTTTATGAGAGGATTTCGGAATATGTTGTTTTATGTGTTTAGCCTATGAAGCTGTCATTAATTGCTTGTATTGTTTGACCAACAGTCCAAAACCCCACAACAGATTCAATTTACAATTTCATAAAACTGAGAACAGATGGAGTGGTCATTAAAAAGAGTTCAGGCAGCCATGAAGAAGAAAATGAAGAACAATAATTAGCCAACTTTATTAATCACCTTGCGGGAAATTGCATTTTTTTTTACTTTATAGGCCTGAAATACACACATAGGACTCATGTTGAAGAGAGCTTGGATGTATTAGGGGAGAACTGTAAACAGCATTGAATGGGGGGCTCTGTTCATTCATATGGAAGCTGTGATGGACGAAGCTCAAAAATGTTTAATTTACCAGTATAAGATTATCCAGATCTTGTGCATATGCTTCAACATTGTGGGGCCAATACAGCAAGTACACTAGAGACTTCAGCCAGGCGAGCACTACGCTCATCAATACACCCAGTATGGAAAAACTGCCCCAGTGAACTAATGTTAGCAAAGCTGTAAGGCTAACATTGGTGCAAATGGTTATAAGACTATGTGGTGATTCAAAAACTAATGGTAAAAACTATTAAAGTGCTTTTGATAACTTTGATATCACCTCAGTATCTTAGATAACCATTAGTGGTGCTAGCTAGTCATGTAATGTTACCACTAATCCTTATTTTCACAGCTTGGTTAACAGTAATTTGCTCTCTCTTACGCATGGTGCTTGATGGTTGAGGGAAGAAAGGAGGAAAGAGTGTGAGAAAGGAATGGAAGCTCACAGAGGAGAACTTGACAGTACAACTAGGCTAGCTGACTGGCTAACCTCTGCATTGTAGGACAGTGAGTATCAAAATGACCAGAAATGCTAAAGACATTGGATCCTAAAAGGTGGTTGTAAGGTTGGAGGAGAAGGTACTGTTCCTGTAGAGTTACTGTAAAGCAGATACGTCACACTACGTAGTGCAAGTAGAGAACTGAATCCCAAAGCTTATATTGTGGCTGAATGTTTGACGCTGCTGTAACTGTAGCTCTGTCTATCATCTTATTGCTCAATTATAAGATTATAAAACCCCACCGAGGATGGTCATTAGCAAATTAACTGCAGCCTGTGTTTACCGTCATAATTGATTGAGCTCAAAGCGAAACATGGGACCTCCTATCGCGGGTCACTGGGAACAACGTGGGCACCGCTCCAAATAAGGTCGGCTTCCTGCAGCAAGCTGAGACAGCTGGAACCATCAGAGACTGAAACATGATGCTTTGATGCTGAGAATGACAAACACATACTGCACCTTTTACTTCCTGTATACCTGAAGCTATCTCATCCTAATCCTTATACACCTGACCACTCAATGGTTAACCTAACCTTTTACATAATGTTTGCCCTGTCTTTAAAATCCAAATCTCAAAATGACTCATTCCCAAATTGAGAACCAATGTGTCTGGAGGATTTTCTTTTTGTGAAGCCATCTCTCAAGCACACACAGACACACGAGAGAGAGAGACGTGGAGTGCCCGATGTGATGTTAGCGATGCTATCTCGAGATCAAAGTAACCGGCTGGCTCTTAAAACTCAAGCAGTCAAATTTAATTCAGAGGTGGAGAGCCCGAGAGGAGAGCCTGAGAAGGTTTTTGATCGTCTACGCTGCCTGATGAGATTTTCTCCACAATAAGTTATGGAAAGAAAAGAAAAAAGAAGGAAAGGGAAAGGAAAATGAGGGAGGAAGAGAGGGGACAAATGAAGAAAGAAAAGGAGAAAAGGGTGTTGAAGAGAAGAGGGGAAAGACGGCACAGGAAAAGACCACATTGGGAAAGAAGAGGAGAGGAGCTCTGTATTCAAACCTGATCAATCTATTTTTTGCTCATTTTCTGAATTGCTCTCTCTTAGCATCTTCGCTCCCTGTCTCCTCAAATCACACTCCATCTCTCCCCCTCACCCTCTCCAAGTGTTTATAAGTCATCTATCAGATACAGAGACACGTAGATGGAACAAAACTCGTCCCTGTAATTTATTCAGCTGTTTTTGCCTCCATTCATTCCCTCTCCTCGCTGATGACATCCATTTGTCAGCTGCCTCTGCGTCTTTAAAATGAATCCATTTGCCTCCGAGTCGCTCCGTTTCAGCGTTTGTTCATTGCAAAGAGATGCAGTTTGGCAACAAATGCTAAAAGATGGAATGAGAATTGGTGTCGTGATGACTCAGTGGGTTCAACTATATTCTCGCAACATCAAATCTGACTCATGATTTCCTCTGCATGTCATCTCCACCTTCTGCCCTTCCTCTCTCTAACTGCTGTAATAAAAATGTTTGAGAGATGGTGTAAAGACTTTGTTTTAGACTACTGTTTGAATGCTGCATTTTTTTTAATATTCTATTTTAAAGGGCCACTAGTGGTGAGATTCCAGATTCCAACCAAACCTGTTGACGGTAGCCCAGAGCAGACAAACCCTGGCTCTAGATCAGGCATTTTGCATTACTTGCGAATTTCGTTGCCGCCGTAATCAGGTCTCAGGTGGTTGCAGTCTACAATCACCACTAGATGCCACTCAATCCTACACACTGGTCCTTTAACCATTACGACACTTGAAGTACATATTTACAGCACAAGATTTGAAAAATAATCAACAAAAATGTTCCATTTTGTTCTCGTTTCAGGTGTCAGTAAGGATTGATCTGGAAACCAGATGACAGAAAGGTAGGTGATGAATTTCATCATTTTTGAGAGGAATCTGCTGTACCTGTCTGGTTATCTATCAGAGACTGAACTCCCTTTGAACTGTGAGAAATCTCAGATGAAACAAATGCAAGCTTCGGCCACAACCTTTGTCTCTACATAAGAGGAGGGATCTAAGTCTGGGTGAAAAATGTATGGGCAGATGGATTGTGGACTTAATAGATGAATGGATTATAGATTTGTGGAGTTGAACAATGGATAAAAGGCTGTATAAATTGAATGGGTGTCAAAAAGCGAGTAATCCAGAGAGTTTTGGGATCAGTCATGTCAGGTGCTCATTAGCTTGATGATCAAACACACGTGGGTAACTTTAGACACGCATTTTCATGAAAAAAAATCAAAAACTGATCTGGGTAAAACCCTGAAATGGTTGCACACCCACGCTCATACAGTAGCAGCCCACCCGTCCTCTAATGGAGCTACCTCTTATCTAGCTCGCTGACCATCGGCAGTCCAATATCTGTCTGAATAATGGACGTCCATACACTATCAGATTAGAGTGGACATTATCTGGTAGTGGGACCGCAGTAATGACAGAGCGTCCTCTATCTGATCACAATGCATCCACCGCGTTCTGTTATCTGAAAGTAAAACTGCAGTCATTCATCCACACTCGTCGGCTGCGGGATTCAAACAGACCACAGATAAGGAGCCGACAGGACTTCCTATGTAAACACCTGTTGCAGGTTTAATACCAAGTTTTAATAGAGATGTTGATTAATGTAGCAGTTATCTAACACTTAAGGGGCAGACACACATTATGGCTGATGAGTCAGTTATAGCTCAACAGGACCGGGGCACCAGAGCCGGTTCACAGGGTCCAGCTGGACCCAGGATAATTGTTTTCTTTTATAATTATTGGTATGAATTTGGATGTTTTACTACCATGTTTAATATTTTATTTATGTCTGTATTATTTGTTTTATTTCTAATTAAGTTTTACTTGTGGGATTGATGTTGGCCCATCTTTGTGATCATCTATGACCCTTACAGGAGGCACTGGCACATTGTGGTCTGGATCCCTCACCAAACTGCTCCTAATGATAGTCTACCTGTTGTCCAGTGTGTTGTCTACTGTGTGTACTCAGTATGTGCTTGTGAAAAAGGTCTGTGGAAATAGTAATTATGTGAGGTTTCTGTAATGTATATACATTGAGCTTTAGAAACAATCCAGAGGCTTTACTGTCATCCAGCTCAGTACAAACAACTGATTGGGTGATGTTCTCATTCAGTAACATCCACATTGTAACTCAGGCATGTCAGACACATCTGTGTGCATCTGGCGCCACTGTTACGACTATGATTAATGCGATTATTATTATTAATGAGCTACTGTCCCTGCTGTTTTTAGAAGAACTTGAAGAAATTAATGTCGCAAGTACATCTCACATTATACCTGAAGTCTGCATTGAACCTGTTTAGACTGTTAAAAGCAGCAGGATTCTCATTTACAATGGTGAATTAGGAAAATGATAACCCATCTACACAGCATATACAAAGCTTTATTGATTCCGAGGAGGGAAGTTCACCAAATGAGTGAGAACCGAATTGAACACTCATGTTTTACTACTGGAGGGCCACAAATTCTACTTTTTCAGGCTGCAAGTGATATATTTTAGTACTAGTTGATACCCATAACTAAGGCAGGGACTGAGATTGCTGCAGTAAAATGGTTTCACATTATGTCCTTCTCTCTAGACTGCAGCACTACAAACTCCAGTGTATGAATGTTGCATTGGTTCAGGCAGAAATGCTCCAAAATTACTTTTTAGCATAACCAGCATATAACATAACTTACATTATAACTGTTTAGACCCTGGTACTGATACTCCATGTTGAATACCATAATATTTTCATTTTTATTAGTTAAAGGTGCTTAATTCTGTTAGTCACATGATGCTCAGAACAGGAAACCAGCTGCGTAGCCTCCAGACGACAGTGACAGCGACCAGTTAGACTTTCTTTTACCATCATGATTCACCATCCAGCGGGTTAAAACCCAGTGTTTGATGGCTGCAGATTTATCACCTTGTTCAAAAAGTTCTGGTGTTCTTGGACAGCTCTAAACCTGCACTAACTATAAACAGCACACAATAAAACACAACTGCTTTGCTTTTAAATAAAAAGGCTGAGTGAAGTGATAGATCATGTCTTTACTGCCACACCTCAAGTTCTAAAGCTCACCTTCTCCTCTACTGTCTTCAGCTCTAATAAAATCTCTGCTGTGTATATGAGCAACAGTAATAGATAGCTGAAATGTCCTCCACACATGGAGTGTGCATCCCCTGCATCGCCATCCTGTACTGGACTGTGTGTAGCCTTTAAGTGCCCATACACTCCATACTTTATGTATAAGAATGTACGGCCCACTTCATATAGTATGTGTAGGTGTATATGTGATTGACACTCAAGATATGTTTTATGTATGCTCAGACCCGTCGTCAGACCTCAGTCTTAAGGGGGGCATATGAAATGCATGGGAGGGCACAATTATTATTATTAGCCTACAGTACGTATATTTATAATAATCCTATACTCTATTCGCGCAGCACGTAATCATCACGTTAAACATAACCAACAGCAATATGACCAGGTGTAGCCTACACCACATTACATAGAAGCAATGTTATGAATATCCATAAAACACTTGACTATACAACATATTAGATGTAACATCAGAAGCATCTCTCAAACATTGCATTTTAAAGCAGTCAACAGAGGGATATGCATTGCCATTAGACACACACACACACACGCACGCACATACACACGCACAGAGACTTTGAATCTACCGGTACTTTGAGTGGAGGCAGCGCTGTCCTCTCTCCAGTCCCTCCTGTCAGTACAGCGAGAGGCGACATTTCTCCGAGCAGAACCTCCTCATCAAAGTATCCTTCCACTCGGACTTAAACTTGTGAAAAGCAAGCTGAATCAGCTGGGCCTTGCGTCTGTGCAGCATACTGCGCCGATGCTCTGAGAAGACCCTTTTTGACCGTGGAAAATGAGTCTTCACACATTGCTGTGGATGCTCCTTAAGTTAGAGCAAGGGTGTAGGCTGTGAGAACAGTCGGCATAGCCTGGAGTGCACAGTTCAATGTGCTGAGGATGTTGGCTACTGTCCATTTTCCATCTTCGGGGGGAACCAGAAGAACCAGTCATTTTCTTCACCAGGAACTCACAAGCCACAGTATATTCAGATCCAACCACATCAGTTCCAGCTAATACCAGGAGAGGGGTTACCTTTGATGGGTCCAGGAAATTATCCTCGGCCTCTGGGTTCAAAGCAGCCAGTGCACCAATGAGCTCGCTACTGCGCTCTCCAAAAATGCGCATTCATCTCTCCTTGCACAGCATCGATAACACTGTAAAACAATCTCTTGAACTCAGTCTTTTCGTCTATGTCACTTTGTGGCTGACCAACTGTTTCTTCAACTGCAAATCCCCGGAGGTTCTTGTTAATTGTGCGTCTTCTCTTGCTTGGACCAGGGTCGGTCACCGGCACAGCCTCGGTGGCCGATGCTGGAGGAGCGCAGAGATCCCACAGTGCAGAAAACTTGTTTTCTGTGCGTAGTGTCTTCAGGCAGTCAGAAGCGCTGTTCTCAAGTGTCACCGCAGTGAACAATTCCATATCTTCGGCCTGTAGTAGTCTGTTAGGCGGCTCGAAAAGTGACAACAGTTTCATAACAAGGTGCGCAATGAAAAGAAAACTGCATTTTTATGTGTTTTCCACCTCGGTCAGTAATGTGGATATGTCGTGAAAACTCTTCACCACACCCACCATAGTTTTCGTCAACAAAAAACCACCGCACAAAAAACTAAAGCAGGAATATATGGTATTACAATCCAGCTTGTTTTAGAATAAAAATAATTTAAGTTTTTTTTTTTTTTTTGTGGGGGGGGGGGGGGGGTTATTAATTAATTAAATATTTTTCCCTCTCTTCCTTTCCTTTTTTTTTGGACTTAAAAAAAGGGGCCCCCCCCCCCCATATTTTTAAAAAAAAAAATTTTTTTTTTTTGCCTAAAGGATCCCGTGTGCCATCCACTTCTATTGAATACCAGCTATCACCGACTTGTCTCACTATCTCCTCTGTCACGAGTTTGCTCATCATTTCGATAATCTTGTTTTGTATCTGTGGGCTGGTAAAGCGCTCATTCTGTGGGATTGTTTTTGTAATCCTTGTCAGTTCTGGATCTTTGAGCATGGTATACTCGAAGACAGACAAGAACAGCCCCATGGAGCTATTATCATCTAGCACACTGGCAAAACCAGCATTATCTCCACGTAACAGCAATTGATTCACCACTAAAAACTCCAGCATATCAATTACGGCTGACATGTAGTATCTGTTGTGAGCCAGTTGCTCTGAATTTAAGAGAGTGGAAATCTCTTTTCCTGTCTCTCTACGTTTTTCTGAATCTCTCCACATTGCTTCACAGGCTAAATGTTCTTTTGAAGCTGCATGCTTATTTAAGCCCTTGCCTGTTTCAATTGCATGTTTCCAATCATTAAATCCCTTTAATGGAGAAGGTCGCGTCCGATGATACAGATTTGAATTTCCTGCAGGCATAACAAAATGCGGAGTCCTTTTCCACCGAGTATTCAAGCCAGTCCCTGTTCAAATACCAGCTAAAGGAAAATGATCATTCTTTTTAACCAAATATTTTGCCTGGATATTTCCTCAACACAACCTGTTTGGGTTTGTCCGTGCCGAGGTCACTCACACCCACTGATTCAACAGGCAGTTTCGGCCCAAATACTGCCCCAGTCGCAGTTGCACTTGACCCGCAGGTCCTGCCAGCCCCAGGGTCGGGCTCCACGGAGCTACTAGCATTGGGCTCAGACTGTCGTCCAGGGTCTCCTTCTCCAACGATGGTGTCGTATCCAATTTGGCAGAGGAGACTGTTGGTGGGCTTTTCAACCACTTATGGATATCCATGACGAACTGAATAAAATAGTAAGC